CAATGTTACCAGACACAGTGGCTCTTACTCCTGATTTCGACCCAGTGTTTGCTTGCTTCTTGATACATCCGGAAAAGACCCGCAAAGACCTGGAACAGGGTTTATGCTCTGCCCAGGACAGACGGCTGGATGTCAGTGGCACTTTGACACAGATGTTCATCATGGCGGGTAAAACTCTATATAGTGGAACACCGGTGGTTGCTGAATCTCACCGTAAAGCAGCCCTTTACAAGCTAGACGGCGGATTTGGCATCCTAGGAACTAGGTCTACTCTTCGGGGATGCCTTCACAAAAGAGTTTAACTGACATGTTTCTATTTCTACGTCTCTCAACTAGGCACAGATGTCTCTCAGACAATGTCCGGGGTCAGGATCAATTTTGTTGAACCTCCGAGACAGGTCACCGCACCACAGCCGATATGCATGACCAAAGAGGCGTCCGGTCTGGTTCATTCAGACAATTTACCCCTGCTGGACAAGGGCTCAGTAGAGTGGGCGACTGACCCCCTTCACTTTTTGAGCAATATCTCCCTTGTATGAAAGAAGACAAGGGACTTCCATCCTGTTATCATTCTGCATGCCCTCAACGCATATGTCGTCTATCGACTTTTCAAGATGGAGGCCATCCATCTCCTCAGAGAACTGCTCTGTGAGGGCGATTGGTTATCTCAACTGGATCTGAGGGAAGAATACCTCACTGTCCCAATCTGTCTGATTCAGGACCTGGGATTCGCCCCCAACATGGAATAATCAGTACCAGTTGCCTCTCGGTCGGGATAATTTCTGGGTTTCGTGGTGGATTTGGTTAAGGCGGTGCTCCGTCTTCCAATGTCCAAGGTGACCACCTTCAGGAAGGATATCAGACACCTGCTCCGCGACACACGGGTCACACTAAGGGACCTGGCCCAGATGTTTGGCCTGTTGTCATCCTCCATTCAAGCCATTTTCCAGGACCCTGCACTATCGGGCACTCCAACGCCTGAAGGCTCACTATCTCAGGTCATCGGCCTCATATGACCGAGTTGTGTGGCTTTCGAACAAAGCCCATCTGGAACTTCATTGGTGGCTGTGACATATGGAGGTCTGGACCGGCAAGATGATTTTCGGACCTCAACCACACTTTGTCCTGTAATCAGACGCCAGCTGTATGGATTTGGGCACTACATGCGATGGCGTGGCGACAGGAGGACTCTGGACTCCAGAGGAGAGAGCTCTTCACATCTACTGTCTGGAACTAATTGCAGGATCGGTCTCCACTCACAGCTTCACCAAGGGGAAGAATCATTGCTCACTGCTTCTCCGCATGAACAACGTCCCAGCTGTTTGTTACATAAATCAGTTGGGAGGTTTCCCGCTCCAAACTGCTGTTGGATCTCACAAAGGATCTCTTTCTATACTTGTGGCAGAATATCTCATAGGATAATCAAGTAGCGGACTGGTTCTCCTGACACTGGAGAGATGCCACCAACTGGGAGTACAACTGATTTTCATTGGCCAAACTCGGCTTCTTACACACAGAACCCAGCAGGGGGTCTCCATTGTATTTAGCACAAGCCCCTCCCAGGAATCTCTGGGTCTGAGAGATAATTGTATTAAAGACCGGTAAGCTAATTATCTTATAGAAACAGAGAGCCAAACACAAACATATAAAAACATAAAAGTACCCTGAAACATCATAAAAATATACAATAACCAAACAAATAATACATCCCCAAATAGCCCTGATCTGAGCACCTAAGTTCTCCAAAAAGTGCTCAGATCCATGCAATGTAGGGGAAACGCCACAGTGTTAAAGTTATGACCGGCCGCACATGTGGTCCTATGCCCAAAATAGTTCCAAGGTGTCTGGTGCTTGTGCCAGTCAACTTTTGGGAGCTCCTGTGGCCACAATACGGGGTGCTCTGTCTGTCTCTTGGGTAGCATTTGTTCCTCTTAGGCTCAGGCATCTTCCCTTTCAAAAAGCACTCTCCTGGCGGATTTGAATGTGGTTCAAAACCACGAACCAAGTTGTCCGGGGACCACACTGTCACCTCATGCCAAAAACAGTTCCATAACATTCATGGCTAAGTCCCACTGAGGTGACCGGGAAGTCCACATGCCAAAAATAGTTCAGTAACGGTCGCGGCCAAGTACCACTGAGGACTATTCGTGAGTTTGGTTCATGCGAACGGCCACCAGAAAGTTAGAGTTCGGTTCCTTATGCATGAAGAAAAAGTGTCGAACCAGGGGCACCCAGGGAAAGCTACTAATGGCAGTGTTATGGTTGCCCCAGGCTAGCTGAGGGTTAGACTGTAGAAAGGATGCTCCTAGCACTCACCAAGGACCATCAGCACTGCATCAGACACCATAAGCACCGCCGCTGCTCGCCGTCTCCCGCCCACCCTGGACCTATGACAAGGCTCCAGGTTCCAGTGGGTGACCCTTTCTTCCTCCCATAGAGCAAAGCAGGAACAGGAAAAAACTCTTACAAGAGCTCAGTGAAGCTAAGGGAGTATGAAAAGCATAGCAATCCCTGTAGTGATTATAGCTGTCCCTTCCAAACACGAGAAAAGGCTGCGAGTTAAGGGTCAAGTAGAACTGGTTTAATGAGCATACAGGTCTTTCTTATATACACATTTCCCCACAAGGTTACCACCCACGTGGACCTTGAAAAACACAGGACACAAAGTTACAACAGCCAATCAACACAGTACAGTACAGTCAGACACTCCCAGCTAATGCACATAAGCCCTCCCCTCTGCCTGTGATAAAATTAACAAACACAATGGGCTAACTTAATTATCACTGGCAGAAAATATACAGTTTTACCCAAAACACAGAAACAACCCAAGACAACAACGTATCCCCGCAAATCATACATCCCTGGATAGCTCTGATCTGGGCGAACAACATATCCAAAAATCACCCAGATCAGAGCAAGGGTTCCCGAATTCCATGGAAGTCACATTTGACCGACCACAAGCATGGCTTTCATGCCCAAAACAGTTCCACAGATTTAAGTTGTGCGGCCGGTCTATCTTCTCCTCTAATTGGCTTAAGTGGCTGTGGTAACTTAATTATCTCGAGGTACAGGGAATATCTCTAAGTCAAAACTGTTACAAAAACCACATAAAAATACATAACTCTTATAATACAATGTTTAACCTATATGTCCAACATATCCCCAGATAGCTTGGATCTGAGCACTCAATATGTCAGAAAAGTGATCAGATCTCCTGAATACAGTTGGATGCTGTAAGGGATCGCCTGGCACCCCGACTGGGTACCTCCGTTAAAGGATGCTCCTAGCGCTTCCTGAGGACTCCAAGCACTGCAGCAGACACCACAACCACCGAACCGGAGAAGCATATGAATCCTCTCAAGCATATGAATGCTGTAGACAGTTGAATAGGAACCATACGAATAGGTTTACTCTCCTAGCAGTCAAACTGGAACAGCATACAATAAATCCTTCCCCCAATAATGAGACGACACTTCACTTTGAGGGTTAAAACAGGAACTCAGGTGCTGGCACACCCAGCCTGGTTTTTATTACAGTCTTGCAAATACAGGACCGCCCACAGGGAGGTATAAAACAACCAATCACATCACAGTTACATCCCACATATTCCCTCCCCTTATCCTGAGAGGAAACTCAATTATATATACAGTTAAAACATACTTTCTACCCAACTTTCATAACTCCAAAACCATACATCACATTCACATAAAATTACATATTCACAATCAATCCATTCAGGGGAACAACATATTCAAAAATGGCACAAATCAGACAAGGGGTTCAAAAGTTAGTAAAAAGTCCTTTGTGACTAAATGAAGCATGGCTTTCTGGCCCAAACCAGTTTCAGAGTCTTCTATCCTGGAGATAAGTAATTCAATTATCTCCCAGGATAGACACAAGACTCCATTAAGCACATGGTTGCAAAAAGACACAAAACACTTTAAAATACATAAAGTCACCTTTTATACATAACACACAGACATTTCACATATCCCCAGATAGCTGGGATCTGAGTGCACATTATTAGATGAATGGCACTCAGATCACACAAATAAGCCTTTCTGCAGGGGAAATAAACAGTTTAACCTGCAGGGCCATAGTCCAAAGGGAGCAGGCGAGCAACCAGGCTTCTCCAGTTCACAGTGGCGAGGTTGGTTTCGCCACAGATGCCATAGAGTTAAACAATAGCAAGAGCTGATGGGAGATTGAGGAGTGACAAAGGAGTCAATTTAAACCCTGCTGGAGAACAATAGAAAGGAATTCTCATGGATTTAAAGGGGCAGAAAAAGTGTTTTAAAATCCAATAAGCCAAATAGACTTTTTAAATGGCAATACACCCCAGGGGCCATAGTCACAGGGCAAGAGGCTGGCAAGCAGGCCTCTCCAAAAGTCAGTCAGTCAGTGTAGCTCGTCACAGGCGGCTGGGTAGGGTAGCTCCCAAACAGTGTCCCAGACCTGGACCATGGTCGGTGGGCAGGAGGCCGGCTTCCACACTCCTACAGGAGTCTGTGGGAAACATATGTGGGAAGGAGCATTTGTCACAGTATAGATCAGTGTTTCCCTGGGTTTGGAAAGCATAAGAAAGAAGAAGCATGTGAATTTGAAAATAATCATATTTATCTGCTTGCAGAGTTAGGCAACTGACTTATTCAAATCTAATGTTTTTGAATGATACAGTTGCCTCAAAGTGATGCTTGTCGATTTAGGTGGAGAATGCTTTAAATTTTTCTATTGTGACCAACATTTTGCAATACCATGACCAGTGTGTAAATGGTTCTTCTTCAGGCTTATCATAACAAAGCTTGGTTATCAAGGCAGTATTGATAATGTATGTTACATTTCCATTGTGACAAAGAGTAAATAAACACCATTCTATCCTAGGTTTTGTTGTTGCATTGTCGTGACAGGAAGGTCTTTAATGTCACAGGACAATATTGTCACTCCTTGGCTGGTTTTTCACAGCCACTTCCACTTCACTTTTCTTTCCGTGCTGTGAGCCTGTGCGAATACAGAAGTTGGCATTGTATGACGTGACTGCCCAGGAAACGTATGGCTCACTTAGATCAATGGATAATACACCATTACAGAACATTTAGGGAAGTCCATATTTCAGCTTTTTTTATCAGTAAACTATGGATGTAACCATCCTGCTTCTGATCTTCTGGTCTCTCCTCGGTATGTAAGAGATTTACTCATTTTATTTTCTGATATTTCATTCTCAAATTAAAACTTCCCAATGTAATATTTTCCCTAAGCACTAATTTTGTGATTACTTAATAATATAGGTTGTTTTTTTTACTGTATTGTTTCTATTTATTTATTAGTTTTTTTCTTTATATGCTTTATTGTTTATTTACTCTGGCTAGCTACACTAGTAGATAACAATTAGGACATGTTATAGATCTTAATCCTGTTTTGTTTCTACCTTCCCTTTCCATTAACTCTCTTCGGTACACACATACCTTCAGACCCACATGGCCAGGACCATTTTTTCTGATGCTTATCACTTCTTCATGTTATCGGACAAGTACATGATTAATGCTGCCTCATGTTATAATAAACTCACTTGCTGCCGGGCAGAATTACAGTAAAACGGAATGTATAGCAAAATCGTTCTCATTCCATCCAAGCAAGGCTGTCTGCTGGAATGAGAGAGGGCACCGGGTATTCTTTCCACTGACTGCCTGGTCTTGTAAAGATGTACAGGTGTATTGGGATCTACAGGTACAGCTTGGACAGGACCTTGAAATAGGACTGTCCCACTGAAATGAAGACTATTGAGAGGTCTGCAAATATAACAAGAATCCACAAGAGCTACAGACAGAGTAAATCAACCTTCAAAGTAGAGGTTCCTGAATGCACTGCATCATGTGCTCCCCTCTTAGCTTAGCCCTGGTCAACACTGGAAAGCTATTTACAACATAGTATGGAATGTTCTCTATCAGCAGTTCATATCTCCTATGAAACCCTAGATGTCCCATTCGCAAAGTCTCCTTTGATTTTATCTAAACTGTTAATTATTATACTGTATCATTCCCCATGTTTAGTTCACGTGCTCCTTATAAGACTATTTTTGTGTGCATTTTATTTATCTTTATGGCACAAATAACACTTTATGCTGAGTTTTCAGTCTGCAGGCTGCAGATCTTTGTTCATATTAGATTTCTATAAACAGATTGTATCTTCTGACACTTCTCTCTCATGTTAAAACTTCCCAATTTAAGTTTCTCACGATGCAGTTTTCTATTGTTTGTTTGTTTTACTTGATTGGTGTTATCATTTCTGAAAAGTTGTTTCTTTATATGCTTTATTTGTTATGCATACTGACCAATTACAATAGCAGACTAAAATTAAGACCTGTTATATATCATAATTTTATTTTGTTTCTAGCTTCCCTATGTCTGTCTGTAAGCATATACCTGCTCAGACCGAGACTGTCAGAACCATATTTTCACAATTATATAGAAAATCTCGTACACTATTAGAGGGACATAAGAGTTAGACATCTAAAACTTCTAATAGTGAGACATCTAAAAGGCACAAGAGGTTCGAGCATTTAACTTAACATGGAATGATGTGACTGGGGTATTACTAAAAATTATATAAATGTGAAACCTGTTGCTATAAACATATACCCCTTCACACTATTAAAATAACGCTCCAGACCCCTTGTAGCACTTGTGCTTGCCAAAGTCTTTCATGTGTAAAGAATGTGTCCTTTTTTTTTTTTTTTTTTTACAAAAAGTACAGATTTCAATAGAAACTGGCATTTTTATAAATTAATATTTTTTACATACCCCTGGCTGTCAATCAGACATCTAGTCTAAGGCAAAGGAAGGGCTTTTTTACCGTAAGAACAATAAGGATCTGGAATTCTGTTCGTGAAGAAGTGGTTTTATCAGAGTCCGTACAGATGTTCAAACAGCAACTAGATCCATACTTGCAAAAACAGAATATTGAGGGATATAATTTGTCAATGTAGGGTAAATGCATCTTGATCCAGGAATGAATCTGGCTGCCATTCTGGGGTCAAGAAGGATTTTATTCCTAGTTTGTTGCAAAATTGGAAGTGCTTCAAACTGTTGTTTTTTTTGCCTTCTTTTGGATCAACAGCAAAAAACAAATGTGAGGAAGGCTGAACTTGATGGACACATGTGTCCAGGGCCGGTGCAAGGATTTTTGCTACCCTAGGCAAAAAAATCATTTGCCGCCCCCCAATAATGTGACATCACAATGTCCTAGCCATAGCATCCACCCATGTCATGACATAACATATGCCTCCATCCCTGAGTGCACTCTGGCCGACTGGCCAGTATTAAGGCTCATTGCTGGGTCTGCCTGGGCAACTCATTTGCCCAGACTCCAGTAAAGTCGCCACGTGCTACGCAGAGGCGTGCACAGCCCATTTCATTAGGATGTGCATGAGGAAATTCTTCTTCTATGGCATATTTTAATGTAATGTAAGGTGAATATTTATTAAAATGTTAAGTGGATGTGTGGTGTGGGTGTGTGTCTTGCGTAGGGTGGCTGTAAGTGTTTTAGCTATGTGTGAGGTGTGTTGTGGCTTTTTTGTGCGTGATGTATAAGGCTGACTGTGTGTACTGTACTATTAACTGTATTATACTGTTGCCGCGGTATCCCATGGCAGTGCTCTAAAATAGGAGGAGGAGCCAGAACTTGGCCAGGAAGTACAGACCAAATCCTCTCTCCTCCCACTCTGCACCAGGGGCGGCCTGTGAGCGTGGACTACGTCTTTAGAAGTGGGAGATGGGGGGCGGCTCACCGAGAAAATTGAGGGCTTTTTGATTTCCCTGTCGGGCAGCTTATTCTGCAGCTGACTCTACAGCACTGACACATAAACTGGCAGACATACTGACAAATATACATACACTGACACACACACAGACACATACACTATCAGAATTATTGACAAACACACAGACACTGATAGACATACTGACAGACATTCTGATTCACATAGACAAATACACTGCTAGACATACTGATACATATTCATACACTGCCAGACATACTGACACACACACACACATATACACTGATATACATACTGACACAAACACACACAGACAGAGGCACATACACTGACAGACATAGTGATTCACACAGAGACAAATACACTGATAAACACACAAACATTTAGACACACTAACACACACAGGCACACACAGTGACAGGCATACTGACACACAGACACATTGAGAGACATACTGACACACACACACACATACTGACATAAATACCAACACACACAGAGATACATACGCTGACAGACATACTGACATACATACAAACAGACATACTAATATACACACAGACAGACATACTGTAAAATTTGCATTTATAAACCCATCCTACAGTTTACTACCTTTTGATGGAGGGTGACTTCCCTGGGGTCCAGTGTGGTGTCTGAGGGTGATGGGAGTGAGGAGCCCCCTCCTCAATGTCACCGCCTCCTCCTTTCTCCCGTGCGTCTCTTTCTGCCCGGTCCGGCATGACTATTCTCTTTTTGGTGTGTAAGTAACTTGTGGCTGTCACCTTGTCCCAGACGGCTGATGAAAAGCAAGCAAGGGGCTGTTAAAGGGTCAAAGTGCCCGACCGGGCCCCAGCTAAAAAAAAAGTCCACTGGGGGGGCTACCCGGTGGGTCTACTTAGTGTGTGGGCCCCTGGCCCAACCGGCAGGGCCATGGTGGAAAAGAAAATCTTGAGGGCAACAGGGACCCCTAAAGTCACGGAGCCTAGGGCAGCTGCCCCGCTTGCCCCACTTTAAAGACGGCCCTGTAAAGTAAAGACCACCAAAGGATAGTGAGGCAGGGGTAGTGGTATTAGTGGGCGAGATCTATATTTCAGTTAGTGCAAGTAAATTTAGGGAATGTGATATGAAAAGGTCATGGATAGAAGTTGATTTAATGATGCAGCACACAGAGCGTGCATTCCAAAAGGCAGCTTGAAAAAAGGACTTAAAGTGAGCGTTACATGGGATGGATATCAGATTTTTGTTGTTTCTGCTGTTAGTACAAGATAGGTTAGTGGAGGATACCTTAATTATATTGTACATAGGGAAATGTATATACAGAAGGTACATGTACATACCTTAATATGCCAGACTTAGAGACTAAATCAGCTAGCCTCCGATACTGTAATAATCTAAAAAATTTAAGAAAGTGACCACTGTGACTATGAGATAGCACCTAAACTGGCATATAGGGACATCAACATTTTCCAGTAACTTACTAAGTAATAAATGAACAAAATTTCGATTGATTACCTAAAGGATACTGGAACATAATACAACGTATAGAAGAGTAAGAAGCATACATTGTTGAATCGTAACTGTTAGTAAAGCATAAGGGGAGACATATCTTATACAATCTCTTCATAATACATATATATACCATTTTGCTAAATTGTATTCATAAAAGTAGATCAAAGTACGTTCTGGCTTAACCCCAGGATTTGGGTGTATAATTTGCATATCGAATAACCAGTAATGATGTTGTTGAGTAACGTAAACTAAAGCAATTGTATATTTGATATATTTTATTAACAACTGAGCAAAAATATTAGAATTTTAAATAGTCCGAAAATGAGAATAAAATGATAAGTAATGAAAATATAACCAGGGCAGTCTAATCTTGGGTTAGCCTCCTATTTATGATACGATGTTTATTCTGGAATGGCTGCACACGCTATGAATGTGTTTTTCAGGAGCACATGGCGCTCATTGCCCTGATGAGATTATACATACCAAATCACCTTCCCAGATAGTTTACTCAGTCACAACTCACATGAAAGAAGATCTGGCGATGTTTATTCGTCATACGATCTGTAGAATGTGCAGTTACGACAGGTAAAAGAACAATTCCTCCATACAGGTAGCAGAGATACAAGTCACATATGAATGTACAGCATAGAAAACACTAGAACAGGAAAGGGGGAGGGGAGTACCTGAAGCAGCATGCAAACCATTGAGTGGCACAAGAGACAAACTTAAGATAAACATTAAAGAAACAGTACATTATAATAAAACAATATCATGTAACATGACAATGTTAGATTTGAACCGAATGATATTGAGATAATCCAAACTGATTATTTTCGTAATCTTTTGTATGAAACTGTTCCCTGTTGTAAGCAAGAGGAGTTAAATTCCAAGTCATGATTTATGATTCACGGTGACGTTACGTGTAGTTTTTTTTTCTGCCGACTATTACTTTTACTTTAAATGCTCTTGTACCAGGTTTTGTTATTATCTCCATTGGAATAAATAGGGAAATACTTAAATCCTGGACTGTTGGTGGGCCATGAGGACTGGTTTGGGAACCACTGCCGTAATATATTACTGCCCACTAAGGGGCCCTTTATTCCCATTAATGTTTCAGAGTTGTACTTTTGTTTAGGGAAGTTGAATGTTTATACCCTGTTATATAATGTGTCATAACACGTCTCCATAGGTAAAAAAACTGCAAGGAAAGCTTTGTAGGCGGTAAAACTCTCAGTAAAACTGGGTTAATGTGACCACGTCTCTTTACAGGTAGAATTCACACTGAAGACACATTCTGCACTAATCAGGTAGGATTCATCCAGGTAGAAGAAGGAGGTTCTGTCACCATCCCATGCAGCTTCAGTTACCCCAAGGAGGACTGGGACAAATCAGAGATCACAGTGCACTGGAGAAGTGGAGAAAACAGTCCATGTGGGCGGAATGAATTCATTTACAATCACACAAAACCAAAACCATGGACTCATGAAAACTACACGGGGAGAATCTCCATGGTGGGAGACCCCATCAGAAATAAAACTGCTTCAATCACAATACAAAACTTGAATAAAAAGGATGGTAGAATGTACTGCTGTAGATTGCAATATAAAAATCATCAAAACAAAGACAAACAATGGCAGAACCCTCCTGGGACTTTTCTGAGGTTTCCTGTTACAGGTAATAACACACTCATAACTCTACTGTTTGATTCACCCTGCAGGCGGAGGGACAGACTCATAGCTTCTTCTGTCTGTCTGTCACTGTGTCACCCTGCAGGGGGAGGGACAGACTCATAGCTCCTTCTGTCTGTGTCACTGTGTCACCCTGCAGGGGGAGGGACAGACTCATAGCTCCTTCTGTCTGTGTCACTGTGTCACCCTGCAGGCGGAGGGACAGACTCATAGCTCCTTCTGTCTGTGTCACTGTGTCACCCTGCAGGGGGAGGGCCAGACTCATAGCTCCTTCTGTCTGTGTCACCGTGTCACCCTGCAGGGGGAGGGACAGACTCATAGCTCCTTCTGTCTGTGTCACTGTCTCACCCTGCAGGGGGAGGGACAGACTCATAGCTCCTTCTGTCTGTGTCACAGTGTCACCCTGCAGGGGGAGGCACAGACTCATAGCTCCTTCTGTCTGTGTCACCGTGTCACCCTGCAGGGGGAGGGACAGACTCATAGCTCCTTCTGTCTGTGTCACTGTGTCACCCTGCAGGGGGAGGGACAGACTCATAGCTCCTTCTGTCTGTGTCACTGTGTCACCCTGCAGGGGGAGGGACAGACTCATAGCTCCTTCTGTCTGTGTCACTGTGTCACCCTGCAGGGGGAGGGACAGACTCATAGCTCCTTCTGTCTGTGTCACTGTGTCACCCTGCAGGGGGAGGGACAGACTCATAGCTCCTTCTGTCTGTGTCACTGTGTCACCCTGCAGGGGGAGGGACAGACTCATAGCTCCTTCTGTCTGTGTCACCGTGTCATCCTGCAGGGGGAGGGACAGACTTATAGCTCCTTCTGTCTGTGTCACCGTGTCACCCTGCAGGGGGAGGGACAGACTCATAGCTCCTTCTGTCTGTATCACCGTGTCACCCAGCAGGGGGAGGGACAGACTCATAGCTCCTTCTGTCTGTGTCACTGTCTCACCCTGCAGGGGGAGGGACAGACTCATAGCTCCTTCTGTCTGTGTCACAGTGTCACCCTGCAGGGCGAGGGACAGACTCATAGCTCCTTCTGTCTGTGTCACTGTCTCACCCTGCAGGGGGAGGGACAGACTCATAGCTCCTTCTGTCTGTGTCACAGTGTCACCCTGCAGGGGGAGGGACAGACTCATAGCTCCTTCTGTCTGTGTCACCGTGTCACCCAGCAGGGGAGGGACAGACTCATAGCTCCTTCTGTCTGTGTCACAGTATCACCCTGCAGGGGGAGGGACAGACTCATAGCTCCTTCTGTCTGTGTCACTGTCTCACCCTGCAGGGGAGGGACAGACTCATAGCTCCTTCTGTCTGTGTCACTGTGTCACCCTGCAGGGGGAGGGACAGACTCATAGCTCCTTCTGTCTGTGTCACTGTGTCACCCTGCAGGGGGAGGGACAGACTCATAGCTCCTTCTGTCTGTGTCACTGTGTCACCCTGCAGGGGGAGGGACAGACTCATAGCTCCTTCTGTCTGTGTCACTGTGTCACCCTGCAGGAGGGACAGACTCTAGCTCCTTCTGTCTGTGTCACTGTGTCACCCTGCAGGGAGGGACAGACTCATAGCTCCTTCTGTCTGTGTCACCATGTCACCCTGCAGGGGGAGGGACAGACTCATAGCTCCTTCTGTCTGTGTCACTGTGTCACCCTGCAGGGGGAGGGACAGACTCATAGCTCCTTCTGTCTGTGTCACTGTGTCACCCTGCAGGGGGAGGGACAGACTCATAGCTCCTTCTGTCTGTGTCACTGTGTCACCCTGCAGGGGGAGGGACAGACTCATAGCTCCTTCTGTCTGTGTCACTGTGTCACCCTGCAGGGGGAGGGACAGACTCATAGCTCCTTCTGTCTGTGTCACTGGTCACCCTGCAGGGGGAGGGACAGACTCATAGCTCCTTCTGTCTGTGTCACTGTGTCACCCTGCAGGGGGAGGGACAGACTCATAGCTCCTTCTGTCTGTGTCACTGTGTCACCCTGCAGGGGGAGGGACAGACTCATAACTCCTTCTGTCTGTGTCACCGTTTCACCCTGCAGGGGGAGGGACAGACTCATAGCTCCTTCTGTCTGTCAATGTATCACCCTGCAGGGGAAGGGACAGACTCATAGCTCGTAAAATAAAATATACGCTCGTATGCACATATACAAGGTTAGTGTGCCAGGGTTAGAGATGTTAGTATGGTAGGGTTAGGAAGGTTAGGGAGGTTAGTGGGGCAGGGTTAGGGAGATTAGTGTGGCAGGGTAAGGGAGGCTAGGGGGTTAGAGAGACAAGGTTGGGGGGCTAGTAAGACAAGGTTGGGGGGTTTGAGAGACAGGCTTAAGGAGTCTAGTAAGACAAGATTAGGGGGTTAGAGAGACAGGGTTAGGGGGTTAGAGGGTTAGTGTGACAGAGTGAGAGGAAAATACACAGACTTTAAACACATTTAATATATTTTGCTTTGCCCCCCTCTTGCTTATCTGCTGTGCAGGTAGGGGAGGCAATAATTAATGTCATGGTGGTCCAGTGGGTCTCTGTGGTCCAGTGTGCTGCTGGTTCAGTCGCTGGTGGTCCACTGTGATGCTAGTGAACCCCGTGGTGGTCCAGTGTGCCACTGGGGCTGCCGCTCTCCCTCGCGGTTCCGGCGCACTATGATGAAGTAGAGCGCAGGCTGGGAACCTGACGCCTGTGCTCTAACACTCACAGTGTGCCGGTAATGCGAGGGAGTGCAGCAGCCCCAGCAGCACACTGGACCACCAGGGAGTTCGTTACAGCTGGCAGGGAGATCTTTGGATCTCCCTGCTAGCTCAAGGAAGGGGGCTCGATCAGAGCCTTCAGGACTGTTAATGGGAACGGCATTCCTGCTGTGTGGAAAGTGCAGAAACGTGGTTCCCACACGTTCCTGCAGGACTCGGGCCATATATATATATATATATATATATATATATACTTATTAAATGTTATAATGTTTAAATATAATATAGAATCATAGAACCAAGGCTTCCTCTGTTTATCTGTAGATAGATCATAGACAGATAGATAGATAGATAAATTACAAAATGTGTTTGTGATATTATTCTACACATCTTTTCATACAGCTATAATCCTTCACAGCTGGATTAAATCATGAATCCTTATCCCATATTTCAAATTCTCACTCTACCGTAGGCATGATTAGAGTTATGGATGCAACGACTGTTTATAATCTTTTATCTTGCAACTTCCTGTAAAACTACCTCTTATAGATTTTTATTCTATATTTCATTAACCTCTATCTATACAGTATCAGACTGTAGTGACTGAATATTGCTGGTGGTCACCTGTATATGTTATGCAGAAATTATCATATCATGTATCAGAAGTCATATCATAGTCATCATCAGTTTGATAATGCAAGCCTCCCCACTGTCCCACTTTCAGCAAGACAGTCTAAGTTGTAGGATCCTGCCCACTGTACTGATTTAGCTCCTTGATGTCCCTCTTGTGCTATGCAGTAGGAACTAGAGCTTCAACAGCCTTCTCTGTATGGTCTGCAGATGCGTAGAAAGGTGACTGGGGGCAAGTCCTTTACTTGTGCCAGCCCAACCTGTTCCATGCCATGAGTGTAGATGGGTGCAGATGCCCCCTCACAATGCTGGACCGAAAGGATTTTTTCTCAGTGATGCATCCATCAGAGGTGGAGACCACAAGCCCCTCCCATTGGACCACCAGGGAGCTACATATTAGAACCCAATGGGCCACAAGGAAGCAAGGCTATGGTCACCAGGGCGTGGGACTATGATCTCAAGGGAATCAAGATCATAAAACCCCCAGGTCAATGGTAACAGGGGGTAAAAATGCATTTTTTTTTAACAATTCTAATGTGCACTCAGCAATACACAAACCACTAAGCTACCCACACACATCAACACACATCATTTGCAGATACCTACAGATTCTCTCACATGGTCTGCAGGGAGAAACCATAAGCAGGGGCTATAGTGGTTATAGTGTTTGGAATGTTATTTTAATTAATATTTAATTTATATCAAATAAATAAACAACATCGAGGAAGAACTCCTGGGTGCATACCATAATGAAACGTGCTGTGCATGCCTATGCTCATATGCCTCCTTCTGGGAGGAACCACCCAATATGGGTGTTGCTAGTAACACCATTAGTGATGGGACCAATGTTGGGTGGTATGATGATATACATTCCTTATTCGAATATTTGTTTTAACAACTTCTTGACCATGGCTACATGCCTATTACAATGGCATTTAAATTCAGCCATTTTGGCCTTTTCTAATAAGTTTAATTTTAAGAGGTATGTTAGTCTTCACATAGCATAAGTCAGGACCACACATTGCTGCAGAAATTTAAATAAAACAGTTTTTTTGTTGTATAAACGTTTAGCATCACTAATTACCCAGAAATGTAAGTGATGAACCAGAGTGAATCAAGAGGAAGTGTCATGTGTCATCTTAAATGTTGCCAATTCCATATATCTGTATCAAAATTGAGAATAAAAAAAGGTACGTGTGTACAATACAGAAGCAATTTCTATAAAATTAAAAATTACTTAATGAAATGTAATATTGTGCAATGCTTTCTCTACAGATACGATATATGTGGATCAGTTGGATGCTGTCCCCGCTCTACAAGGAGAAACAGTCATCATTCCGTGTTATATTACTTACCCTACTGGAAGTACCTTTACTGTTGAAAAAGTGACCTGGCGTACGGCAAATAATGACCTGTGTCAAGATAATGGAGAGCCTCGTGTTTGGAACTTAGAAAATAAATCAGAGCTTATAGATCAATTCTCGCTGGTGAATTTTCCAGCTAATATCTCATTACGTATAAAAAATGTGAAACTTTCAAACAAGAACTGGTACTGCTGTGAAGTGACTACAGAAAGTCGTACATATATTACTCATCGTGCCACTGAGCTGGCCATTACAGGTAAATATGTAGTTTGTTGAAATGAACAGATATTCCTCAAGACAGGACGTGTGATATAACGTTAATATCAAGTGCTGTTTTAGAGGATTTTTCTTATAACGCATTTCTTGGTTAGATATATAGTTTATATCTGTTTATTACAGCTACCAGCACCCAGCAAATTACAGATGATTGTCTATTAACTATTAATCTAATTGAATACGTAATGCTTATCTTACCTACTTGTTGGAAATTAAATCTTTACAAACCATCTTTACTATCTATCAAACTATCTTTACTATCTATCAAACTATCTATCAAACTATCTTTACTATCTATCAAACTATCTATCAAACTATCTTTACTATCTATCAAACCATCTTTACTATCTATCAAACTATCTTTACTATCTATCAAACTATCTATCAAACTATCTTTACTATCTATCAAACCATCTTTACTATCTATCAAACTATCTTTACTATCTATCAAACTATCTATCAAACTATCTTTACTATCTATCAAACCATCTTTACTATCTATCAAACTATCTTTACTATCTATCAAACCATCTTTACTATCTATCAAACTATCTTTACTATCTATCAAACTATCTATCAAACTATCTTTACTATCTATCAAACTATCTTTACTATCTATCAAACTATCTTTCTCAATTCTAGTACATAAAAAAAGTTTCTCCAGCACATCCTCCACTCAGAAGGGGTGTCACTAGGGGGCAGCCACAGGGGTACATCATGCTATGCCCTCCGTTGCACCCCCTCCCAAATGCAGGCTACCTGACGTAATGTGTTTTTTTTTTTTTTAATAATCCCTGGTGGAGAACAATGAAATCTTAAAAAACAAACTCATTGTGGCAGGGTTTACTGTGCAGTGGGGGCAGGGCTAAATGACTGTAGGGCATGGATAAAATCCCCAGAAGAAATCTGTCAGGGGTAACTGCTGCACTGGAAGAGGGAAGCAGGAAGGAGTCCCTGCTTCCCCAACATCCAGACTCCAGGAGATGCACTGCCTCCACTCCAGCCCATAATAGACAGAATAACTTTGTGTGTGATTACAACTGTGTGTGTGACTGTCTGCCTCTGTGTTTGACTATCTGCCTATGTGTGACTGTAACTATGTGTGTGTGTCTATCTGCATCTGTGAGTGTGGCTGTCTGCCACTGTGTGTGTAACTGCCTGCCTCTGTGGTGTGTGTGTGTGACTGTCTGCCTCTGTGGTGTGTGTGGGACTGTCTGCCTGTGTGTGACTATATGCCTCTGTGAGTGTTACTGTCTGTCTGTGTGTGTATGTGTGACTGTCTGCCTGTGTGTGTAACTGTCTGTCTGTGTGTGTATGTGTAACTGTCTGTCTGTGTGTGTATGTGTGACTGTCTGCCTCTGTATGTGACTGTCTGCCTCTGTGTGTGGCTGTCTCTGTTTCACTGTATTGGTGTGTGACTGTAACTGTGTGTGCGTCACACTCTGCCTGTGTGTGACTGTAAGCCTGTGTGTGTTTGATTTTTCCAACAACGATGCTGTATCAATCCCAAAGTGCCAGCATGGACGTCCCCAACGCTTCCACCTGTCATGGAGAAAGCTGTTTATGGAACCCCGAGATGGTCGGCTGTGAGCACGTCAAAGGCAGCGAGGGAGCTATAATCCTGCTGCTCTACTCCCTCCCTCGCCATCTACTGATGCCGGGAGCCGTGTGTGCGTATGTCAGTGAGTGCATGTGTTAGTTAAACAGTGTGTGAGACAATGACTGTCAGTGAGTATGTATCAGTGAAGGCATGTTGTCTGTCAGTCTGCCCATCCACAATGTCATCCCCACACTCTGCCCCCTCACAGTCACCTTCCTTCACCCTTCCCCCCACACTGTCACCTTCCCTCCCCCTATTTCCCCCACACTGTCACCTTCCTTCACCCTTCTCCCCACACTGTCACCTTCCAACACACTGCCCCCCATATATATATATATACACACACACATATACATATATATACATATACATACACACAAACTCACATACATACATGTTTTATAACAGCCCCCTAGTTTTTTCCCTGACCCATCATGTGCCCCCCCCCACCCACTAGAAATGAATCCTAGAGATGCCACTGACACTCAGTGTGTAAATATGTTTTAAAGCCATCACTCACACCAGCAATGTTTCACCTCCACGATGAGCCTTTATAAAGCCATGGGTCAATAGTGCAATGCATCAAATGAATAGTGACAATTAGACCTGCATCATATGAATATTCCCATGCAAGGCTCAACAAAGGTGACAACTGCTTCGAATCATGGGAAGGCTTTTTCCACCTTAAAATCTTATCCTGCATGGAGCACTCACATATTGTGTGAGGATAGTGTGTGTTACTTTGTACACAAGACCAAAAGGTGTTGCACCAGGATCTTCTCTCTTTTTTTCCCTTAAAACTTATATCTGTGAGGATATACATGGAGAAAACTACTAAAGAAAAGGAACAGCACGGATGCACTGAATTTTAGAGCCTATTGTAATTAAAGGCTCTAAAAAATGTGAGTTTTATGCACATATACATTTTAATTGTGAAACTATATGCCACTATAATCTTTTCTCTCTATTTTTTTATCATTTTCATATGTCCAGTACTAACCCCTAGATAACAATTGAGGGGTAAGTGTATCTTAAAAGCTGCACTCACAATTGGTTAACACAGATGAAGGGACAAATCACCTAAACTGTTTCTTTCCCAATGTTCTTTGTATGTGTTCCCACTAGCCTACTGTAAGATTCTCAGTGATGTTTGTGCAAATGTAGAGTCTGTGTTTCGTTTGTTACATTTTCGTCACTGAATTTGCATTGGTCTATTGTGCTTTTTTGTATGTCTTTTGTTTTATGTAATTGTGGCACTGAGTAACATTATATTTGTCTTTGATGGGGTTGGGGTCATATAATGGATGCACGAGGATGCACAGAACCTCTGATCATAATAATATAATATATTAAATAGTGTAATTACAAGCCAACATGATTCATTATGTTATTGTAACACATAGTGCTAATCAATGTGTTGTGTATAGTGAATACATAAAAATTGTCACCAATTAGATGTGGTCTGACTTATTACAGCATAGCAACATTTATTTTGGCTTGAAAGATTAAAGTATTGCAAACCTTAATTTGACTGTTTTTAGCAAGTGGAATGAGCCATTTGTTAGTATCACGGGAAAAGGGAAGCAAATTAGATGCCTTCCTCTTGGACGTCTGGCATTTTGATATGCAAACCGACAGAAGTTAGGAGACAATTCTTTTTGCTAAGCAGTATATCCAAAAAAAACCATTAATAATAATCCAGAGATTAATAGTTGTGCCTTCTGGTAAATAAATGTAAAATGCTAAGGGCATTCCCTGCCAAAGAAATTAAAACTGTAAGTCATTTGTGGGAATGAAAAATAAAAATATAAACAAATCATTACCCATCAAAGTCTTGATTGAAGATTTTGTCTTTAATATTCTTCCTTCATTCTTAAATCACCTTTCTGCAACAAATAATAATAAAATAAAAAATAACTGGCATTTACAAACTGCCAAATAATTTTGTCTAACAGTGTCACTTAGATATATAAGGGGTAGTGTTATCCACATCATTTATTTTATATTTTGAATGGTGGTACCTGGTAGAGAGTTGTACTAAAATTAGGTCCTCTAGGAAGGTGCCAGATACAGCCCAGAGTGACATGAGGAACCTGTATATGGTGATGGCTTGGATATCGCACACATTGGATTCCTTTCCAGTCAATATCATTAGTAGCTGTATCTAGCACCTTTCTGGAGGACCTTATTTTAAAACAGCAGGACTGTTTACCAGGCAACAGCACTGTTATATTGTTCCTAATCTGACTTTTGACTTCTCTGATCATATTCCCAGCATTACTGTGCAATATTCTATATGCTTTCCACTGATCCTACCTTGTTTCTGACATGCTTACCGCCCCCCACCCCGCATTTAAGCATTTTATTGAGTTTTATATGTACGGGGAGGATACAGAAAGGAAAAAGGAAGGGGAAGGAAGGGGACAAACAGCAGCACAATAGGTTGTACAGTCCTACAATGAATATTTTCCGAGTTGCACAGACACAACAAAATTGGTACAGAAATCTGTGGGTACCCGATATCCATGTGTCCAATAAGTTTCATGCATCCAAGAATAGTTTTGAGGAAGAGACAATAGTGGGAAAGCATTGTTCGTGTGAGCACTCTGTCAATTGCTGAAAGCAGGAGAGATAGTTAAGGGATTTTGGTAGTTTTCTAGCCTTTCCGCTACAAGGGTTACATTAAAGATC